ATTGTTCTCTTATTATCGAAAATTTATTGATAATTTTGCTCGGTTGGCACTTCCCGTTACGAGTTTGACGAAAAATGACAAGGTGTTTGTTTGGACGAATGAAGCGCAGGAGGCATTTGAGGTGTTAAAAGATCGGATTTGCAAAGCTCCTGTTTTGGGGCATTGTTCATCTGAAGGTAAGCAGGTGACGCGGTTGTATGTGGATAGCAGTGGATATGTAATTGGATGTTGTTTATTGCAGGTAATGGAAGAGATGAAGCCTATAGCTTATCCGCTCACGCGATACATGCAGCCGTAGACGCATACCATACCTAGAGGTGCCGGTGATGATTTTATACCGATTTCTCGGATATCGAAGTTATAACAGGTAAAAGAACTGATACTAATTGCTATTTCGGTAACTACTCTAGCAAAGCATAAAGTTTTTAATGCCTGGGTCTGTCATTCTGTCATTTAAAAAAAATAAACAACTTGAAAAATACGTCACGACAATCGTGTGTGTTATTGTTTGGGCTGGTGATTTCGGTGTTTATTTATTGAAAACATACCGTAAGTAGCGTTTTTTAAGTTTACCCTGAATATAAATGTTTATAAAGTATACTTTAAGGAGTAATTTCGTGGTAAACGTTAGAACCACTCGAACGGAATATTATCATATTTATCCAAGCACACCAAAAATTTCGTTAGTGCTTTTTAAGTCCAGGATTTGCGGTGTATTACTGCATTTTATTTGAGATGTTTTTGTTGGTAGGGCGGAGGGTATTTATTTAGCAATGCAGAATAATAATTTTTATTTATACATATACTTGTATTTAAACTGAATCCTTTTCTATTTTGCGAAACCGCCATTTTGCGGTAGGAGGAGCGCATCGTGGGAGCGGTTAAGCCTCTATGAAACTTAAGTGAAGAAGAAAAGAAATATTCTGTTACGGAAAAGGAATGGTTAGCACTTATTTGAGTGTTAAATTATTTTAAGAGTTGTTTATGGGTACTTCGTTTTCAGGTTGTTACAGATCACCGGGCGCTTGTGTGGTTAAAAAGTAAGAGATATATTAGTATATAAGGCAGCTGGGAGATCAATATTGATTTTGCTTTTGATTGTGCTCGAGCCTGTGTCGACGTCTTAACAGCGTGCACGATGAAGATTGTTCAGTGATGTGTTTGAAAAGTTTTAGAAGCATTCAGCCTAGTGACGATTTTAGCTGAAATAAAGAGTTAGGGTTTAAATAGGTTACCTGAATAGCTAGGATAGCTGACGAGTAATTATATTTTGAATTGTTTGATTAAGATGTGTTCATAGTCTGTCCTTTTAGATAGGTTTATGGCAGATTAAAGCCATAGCCTCCTCTGTGATTTGCTTGTTGGTAAGGTAGTAGCTTCCGAGCAGAGTCTGGCTAGCCTGTAGTAAAGGCTGGTCACAGATGTATGTTGCCTATCATAGGTAGGGCACTACTTAGGGATGTTCACCCCTTCAGTTGTGAGGAAGAGGGATGTAGTACAGGTAGCTCAGGTTTGTATTTAGAATTGTAAAAATAGTGGGTTGATGTCAAACAGACTTCTTGGTAGTTCTGGACAAAGCTTTGAAAATGATTATGATATAATCGTCGTTTCTCACTGGAAAGTACCTCTACGCAAGCCCAACAGCTACGTACTGTGCTATAGTACTTAGAACAAAACACACAAACAAAATTTCAAAAACTGGAAGTGATGGAAAATACTCGAATATAGTAATACATAAAGGCCTCTTAGCTCTTTTATTTCAATAAGCGACGACACATTTCCTTGTAAAATGTAATTTACAAATAGGGAAACGGGAATTCGATAATTTTGAAACCAAAGTTACGGTAATTAGATACTTATGTAAATTGGCTGCGAATGTGTCCACGGCTGAAAGCTCGCGATTCGGCAATAGCGACTTCCAAATTTTGTGGTTTAGAGATGCGCACCTAAGAAAGGAATGGCGATGGTAATTATGCCTTCGGGCCGGACACTCGGATATTTGATGATAGATTTTAAAAGATTAGTCGTTGTGGATTATATTTTTATATGATTACACATGCAGTATCTCGCCACCCTGAATCTTAAATGGCACTGGTGTATTCCATTCCGGGCTAAAATGCGAAGTATGTTTGCAGACAAAGGTTGCGTCTGGACAGGCTACGGTAATTCAAGAGCAAGGGTTTGAAAAATAAAATAAGTAAGATAATTGAGTATCACAGCTAAAATCTTAAAAATACCTTTAGATAAAAGTGTAAATCACAAAAAAATATTTATATATTTAAACTTAATTGCACACAAAACAAGTACAAATGGTGAACTTAACTGGAGTCAACTGGAGAGCTGGGTTCAAAATAATTACTAGCGGTGCATAACATGATAATTAAAACAGATATGAAGAAGTTTATAAATAATTATGACATATAGTTTAAACACAATATAAATATAGCACATAATATTATATGACTAACTATATAATTATATAAGCAACCTATATACATATGAATACATAATATATAATACATACACATATATATTTAATATACATATTTATATATAACAATGTCAGGCTAATGGCATGTAGATTGAGACTCTGTCCTAGCCTTATATAAGTGCTTTCAGAAAATATTAAACATAACCGCTCACGCGACGCAAATTAGAAAAGGATTCAGTTTAAATACAAGTTTTTATAAATAAAAATTATTATTCTGCATTGCTAAATAAATACCCTCCGTACTACAACAAAAACATCTCAAATAAAATGCAATAATACACCGTAAATCCTGCACATAAAAAGCACTAATGAAATTTTTGGTGTACCCAAGTAAATATGATAATATTCCGTTTGAGTGGTTCTCACGTTTACCATAGAAATTACTCCTTAAAGTATAGTTTATAAACATTTATATTCAGGGTAAACTTAAAAAACGCTACTTACGGTGTGTTTTCAATAAATAAACACCTAAATCACGAGCCCAAACAATAACACACACGATTGTCGTGACGTATTTTTGAAGTTGTTTATTTTTTTTAAATGACAGACCCAGGCATTAAAAACTTTATGGTTTGCTAGAGTAGTTACCGAAATAGCAATTAGTATTAGTTCTTTTACCTGTTATAACTTCGACATAAAATCATCACCGGCACCACTAGGTGTGGTATACTACGGCTGCATGTATCGCGTGAGCGACTCAACAACAATAATAGGCGGTAGGTTTGCTACTCGATATGAGTAAGGCATACGATAGGGTAAATTATAAAATATTACTCGACAAGCTCTATTATCTTGGTGTAAGAGGCCTAGCTTTTAAATGGTTTCAATCATACCTTCAAACCGACCGATCCCAATGCGTTGAATTTGAAAACACTAACTTTCATACAAGCGAAATTGAGCGTGTCAGATCAAATGTCATCTCTATCACTGGTTCTATTCCTCAGGGAAGCATGCTGGGCTGCATTCTGTTTCTTGTGTACGTAAATGACCATCCTCACTCAATTCCTTTCGATAGTATACTGTTTGCGGATGATGTCTCTGTTGTTTTGCCTTGCACAACTTCAAACCGACCGATCCCAATGCGTTGAATTTGAAAACACTAACTTTCATACGGGCGAAATTGAGCATTTCAGATCAAATGTTGTTTTGCCTTGCACATGTACTAATTCACTACAGAAGGACTTAGATGCGATATTGAATTCACTCACAGAATGGCTCGATCAAAATAACCTACAACTAAATTTAGAAAAAACAAAAATAATTCAATTTAAACCCCGCCAAAAAATTGCTTTGGATATTAACTATATACCATATAAATCAAACAAATTAGAAATGGTAAATTCGGCAACTATGTTGGGTATTGAAATAGATACACACATAAATTGGAAACCCTATTCAAAAATTATGTAGCCGTTTATCTTCACTTATATATGCTCTTAGACAACTGAAGCGTGTTACTGGCCTAAAAACGGCCCTCTCAGCTTATTATGCGTTTGCCACTCGCGACTAGCCTTTGGGATTATACTGTGAGGAAACAGCTCGTGTTGTCAAGAAATTTTTGTAGTACAAAAAAAAATCAGAATATTAACCAACATTAAATCAAAGTGAAAGATTATTTATTCCATAAGTAAAATAAATTTACACTTGAAAAGCCCTGGCGAATCGTAAGCCACTTCAGCTCATTGCAACATGCGGACACGTGATCAAATTTTCAAAGTCCATGAATAAAGTGAAATCGTTGACCGCGTAACTGGTTCTTAATTTTTGGAAATAAATAAAAGCACAAGGTACCAGATCGGGAAGGTCAACGTTGTTCACCTTCGAAAATTCATTTGTCTGTCTGGCCGTGTGAGAACTGGCATTATCGTAGTGCAAGATGATACCGCGTTTACGGTTTTTATTGCGTTTGAATTCTGAAAACCAACTATAAATAGTCGTCTTGTATGGTGCTTCTTCGCCAAAAGCAGTTTGAAGCCGAGCGAAGCTCCGCTGAGCTGTTAAATTACACTTAGGGTCGTATTCTAGAACTCTACTCAATGCTCAAGTCAGGATTGCACTGAAAACACAAGCACTGGAAATACGACCCTAATTGCAGGGACTTGAGTATGATTTCGAGTGCTTTAAACCATACTCAAATCCTGACTTGAGCATTGAGTAGAGTTCTAGAATACGACCCTTAGAGTCGAAGAAAACATACAACGAAAATTTTCACGAGTTAAATCCATGGTAATGTAGACAAACAATTTCTAAATGACGCCACAATGTAAAAACGAGTGACAGTCAGATGAAACAAACTGTATTCTACAGCCAAAGAGATCCATTTTCAAATGTTGTAATTACTTTTTAAATATTGTTTATGTAAGTGGCCAGTTCCGGAAACTTATAGTGCGCCCTATGTATTTGCCTGTTTGTACATATTTGAAAAAAAATTATTTGCTGTTAGTATAAAACTTAAGATTTATTTAAATACTACAGAGCGTATACGCTAATAAGTTTTGCCCTGTTTCAGATATGTGGGCTACATCGAGGCAACCTTGCCGGTAATCATGGTGCGTGACCCTGAGCTGATTAAGAAGCTCACAGTGGAGGATTTCGATCACTTCATGGACCACAGGCAGTTCTTTCCCGAGGATGTTGAGCCTTTGTTCGGGGGCAGTGTGCTTATGTTGCAAGGTACAAGTATACAAGATGACACGAGCGGTGACGATTGCCAAAAGTCAGTACAAAGATATATAACAAAAAGCACATAGGAGAATTTTGACAACCCGGTAACTTGAGCAATGGCTCAGTTGGTAAGAAGCATTACTCTTGTATGTGCCGCATGGTCGTGGTTATCATCGGGTCGAAGAAATTTTTCTATGTGTTCGAGCTTTGTATTAACAATCACGTAAATGTATTGTTATACGTGAAAAAAATTGTTGTCGTGTATACGAGTTCTGCTGCCACATTTGGGATGGCCCGATACTAGTTAGCAATCATGGACTCTTAGATGGCTTGCTCGTCAATTTTCAATACTAGAACGCGTTTAGGATGCTATTGCGGTTGCTTCACAGGCGCGGTAAAACCGCGCGCGCCGCACGGAGAACCGTTGTGAGTGTATTGGACGGCGCGTTTTCCATACAAACTGAAATACTTCCGTACAACGTTAAAAAACGCAGCTCCGTGCTCCAACGCGGGGCGCGGTGCAGTATGGTAATCGCCTAAGTTATACAATAAAAAAGTACACCTATAATAACAACTCAATTCCAAGCTCCTCAAGTCATCATCCACAAAAACCACTACGCTTAAATAAAAAAAAAACTTGACATGTTTTTTGATAACATAAAATCAGAAATAACTGATCGTTCCAGGTAAAAAATGGCGCAACATGCGAATGACCCTCAGCCACGCATTCACTAGCTCCAAGATGCGACACATGATGCCGTTTATGACCGAAATCAGCCAGAACATTATCACGTACTTGAAAGGTAAGACTTACGCTTCCATTCTAATTTGACACCACATAATTAGGTACGGTCTACTATTCCATCACTTTCCCGAAAAGTACTTTCCGTATTTCATCAATGGACCAATAACTGAAGATAACTGCTATACTGCTAATCTCCATAGCACAGATCGTAACTCTGACAAAGGTCAAAATTCCGTCTTAGATCTAGATGCCGCCGATCAATAGCCTGAAAGTAGCTTATATTAAATAAAAAAGTGCTGTGAATATCGTTCATTCCTCTTTAATCTGAAATATAAGTAGTCAGTTTTTTCCCCTTGTAATATTATTCAAATATTGACCATGAACTGAAATTAGTTTGGAACTTTGACAAATATGCGTGTCAATCATTGACTTACAATTATATAGACGTCGGGTCCGCGCTAAAAAGTGTCCGCACTTGCAAGGCGCTAAAATCGTATACAGAGCGCCAAACTCCGCTTTAGTCTTCATTTGTTCGACTGACAGCGCGATACTGCGATGACATTACAATTTAAATTTCGAATAGGTTGACTTGGGACATTTTTTTCGTGGTTTTTGTATTAGACCCGTCGTCCATTTATTTGTAAGTCAATGGTGTCAATAAACAAATTTATAAATTAACGCTTTCTAATTTGGGTAGATGGCGCTAATAAGAGTTCCATTTTCAAATGTTGTAATTACTTTTTAAATATTGTTTATGTAAGTGGCCTGTTCGGGAAACTTATAGTGCGCCCTATGTAGGGCGTTAGTGAATGTTTTTTTGTTACAAAATTGGAAAACGAAAAGGTCGGAATGTGCTGACAATCAGTATGGCTCTTTTGCTATTTCTAGACTTAGCAAGATGTTTTTATGGATGCCTTCCCAAAACTTTAAGCAGTACACAAACAACGACTGTCAAAGTGACAAATACACAGTTTTCAACAGCTTTCCACTGGCGATATGTTTTAAATTTTTGGAAATATAAGTTAATTTTCGTGTTCTAGCCGTAAGAGTTTCAATATGGGCCTTGTAGTTCAAATACCTATCTATTGTGATGCCCAAATATTTAAATGTGTTTGTGCTGCTTAGTTTAGGACATATACAGGTACTTTCTACTGAGCTAAAACAGTTGTGGACTAGTATTGAATGTGAGTTTAAAGTCGGTTGTGAGAGTGAGTTATAGGAAAACGTCATGTATTTTGTTTTATCAGTGTTCAGGGTCAGTAAGATTTTTCTAAGCCATTTATTGACAGTGTCAAAGCCCGCTTGGGCTAATGTGAATGTGTCAGTCCAATTTTCGGCACAAAATAACAAAGCAGTGTCGTCAGCGTAAGATATTATTTTACTATTGTTTGGTAGGGGGAGGAGGCAAAAGTCATTAATGAAAACGACAAAAAAATTAATGAAAGCAAAGGTTCTAGTATACTTCCTTGCGGGACACCATACAGTCAGTTCTTTACTTACTGTATCATGTATCGTAACGCTGAGTCCTGTCAGTTAAATAACTTTTCAGAAGATTATGTGCATGATCTCTTATTCCTAAGTAGTAGAATTTTTCGAGGAGGATTGGAATTGAGACTGTATCAAAAGCCTTTGCGAGGTCTAGGAATACAGTTAAGCACTTTTTTTTTAGTCTTTGTGTCTTACAATATAGTCAGTTAGTTCATACACTGCGTCGTCAGCCGATTTGTTAGTTCTGAAGCCGTATTGTGTAGTTGCCAGGAGTCTGTTCTTCTCTAAGTACTTTATTAGCCTGTTATAGATGAGTCTTTCTAGAATTTTAGAAATATACGGCATTATGGCTATGGGGCGATAGTTATCAAAACAACTCTTATCCCCATTTTTATGGACCGGAGTGACAAGGGTCTTTTTTTAAATAAAAAGTAAATGAATAGTCGGCACCACAGAATAATAAATACAGTAGAAGTAGTTACTTAGCATCCTACGCGTGCCAACTATAGATCTCGAAAGACCTATCTGAGCTCAGTCCGCCATTTTCGCGTGAGAGATTAAAAGTGCGTATGTACATGCGTTGGGAGTGTGTGTGTGTGTGTGTGTGTGCGTGTGTATGTGCAAGTGAGTGTGTGTGTGTGTGCATGCCTGTTTGTGTGAGCGTTTGTGCGTTTCTTCGTGAGTGATAATGATATTTGGAGCGGACAAGAGTGTTACCTATGTAGAGTTTTAATTGGATACGATTGACGTAAAACGAGCTATACCAATATTTGTTCTGTTTCATGATATTCAAGTGCTAATAGCCAAGTACTTATTTTATTTTTACACTCAAATTTATTGACTCTATGAATTTGTAGAGTATTATTTAGGTTGTTGTAAAGTCTAGCACTCAATGAAGGAAACTGTCTCTTGGCAAAGGTAGTACGGCAGTGTACTGTAGGACAAACTGGTCTAAGTCGTCTGGTAGGTGGCAAATCAGCTCTCAATGGGAGAGACGAATGTTGACGTAAACAGGATCGAAGGATAAATGTCTTTCTTACAGTGAGTACATTAGCGTCCACAAAAAGTTGTGAGGTGGGATATCTGTACGCATCACCGCGTCACACTGCTAATTTGACGTTTTTGCGGTTCAAAGTTTAAATTTAGAAGGACTGGGTAATGATCAGTTATAGATGACTCAATCAATAAGACAGTTATGAAGTTGCTGGTGAAATTACAGGCACATGGGACTTGCCAACTTACGTCTTAGAGTGACAGACGCAGTGGCAGTGTCCCTCAGATTTTTGCGATTTAAACCTCTGAGTGGCACTGCAACTGTTATGGACAGGCGTGTAGCTTACCATCAGGCGCACGACTTGTTGTCCCGTCACTTATATCAAGTGACGGGACAACGACTGAAAGAAAAAAATATAAAGAAAAAAAATGGTTTAAAATTTCACATATGCATAATTTGTTTCATGTAGTTTCTATCACTTTTAGGACTTCCATATAATAAAACCATTTTTGATGTACTACCAGTATGATCTGTAAAGTACAACAGTAATGCCAATACCGTATGTATTAATTACGCAAAAAATCTTTACATTTGGAGAAAACTTGTGTACGATCTGTCTGTACTAAAGTGTAAGTCCAAGAGAGCAGAATTCTCAGTTCAGAGATTTGTGACTAAACTGCCCTCATCGTCTTTGGTCCTAAAGACGGTCGGTCTAATTTTGAAATTCTACCTCTAGTCTGTCTGTTTTTGTAGCTAGTCAGTCTGCGGAGGCTGGACGCGACAATTTATATACATGTTTTAGAAGTGAAGAATTAGGGCTTTCACCGCGGTGCATTTCCACCCGAGAGAAAAAATCGAGACTCATTGCGATATCAAAATACACTGTCAATACTAGTCTAAGTCATTCTGACGAGCACGAGACTTTCGAGACTATTCCAAAAGTAGATTTCCATATCAAGTTCTTAGGTTTTCGTGATTGTTACACATAGCAAATGAAACAATTTTTTCGGACCTAGGTAAATCGCCTAAGACACGTCTTGACTGAGGCGGTAAAGCCATCAGCCATTTCACTATTTTGTAGTAATAGTGAAATACGGGCGCCAGGACGTCGAGTTGCGGATCACAGCCCATTACACCATACCACACATTAGTTCGAGACAGAATCTCATGTCCTATACATTCTCGTTAATAATGGTACGTTTTTTGTGAGGAATTCAAAGTAAAATCTGGAATTTGTTGATATTTGTAGAAGTTATTACGCACAATATGTTAGCCGTCTTACAAACAATTTATTGGACATTTTTTATTACAAATAAACGGGAACTGTGTACTGCTATCAAATACCTCAGCCTTACATGAAAGAAATAATTTAAATACCTTTCAAACGTCAAATTCTTAAGTATATACTACGTACAGTAAGTCGTGAGTGTCGATATTACATTATAAACGAAATTTCTGGGAATTTTACTTATCTCTTAAGTTCCAATGAAACCCGTCTCGGTGAATTAGTCTTAGGTTCGTATTCCAGAACTCTACTCAATACTCGAGTCAGGATTTGAGCAGACTTGAGTATGATTTCAAGCACTGGAAAACGACCCTAATGGCAAGGACTTGAGTATGATTTTCAGTGCTCACTGCAATACTCAAGTCCTGACTTGAGTATTGAGTAGAGTTCTGGAATACGACCCTTAGTGACACCAGCACCCTTGCTTTCAGGTGTACAATAATATAATCCGAGAAAATATAATAAACTAACAACTAATCCAATATTCATCTTTGCAGAAAATCTCAAAGAACACGAAGACGTAGATGTTGGCGACGTCATCCGTCGGTACACCAACGACGTTATCACGTCAACCGCGTTCGGCATCGGCGTCGACTCAATAAAGAACAAAGACAATGAGTTCTTCAAACTAGGCCAGGACATCTTCACATTTTCAATTTGGCAGAGGATCTTGTTCTTTGTTGCCTCCATGTGGCCAAATTTTAATAAGGTAATAATCAGAAAATGTGAAACCACGTTCATTCACACAAAAAATGCTCTAGCAATTGAAATTGACCGATAATATATATTTAATATCACGCAGTTAAAAATTGAAAATGATCATTATACTATTTTGTATATTCAAAGAGAGGAGAGCGTCTTTCCGTATTTACTTGATGGCAGAACTGTTACGATGCCAATGAACTAATCTAATCAATAATTCCGGTAAATTAATGGGGCGTTCGTTTTATTATTGGTTTTTAAGGAAATATTTTTTTTTACCTTAAAACGGTAGCTTCAGCCGACGCTAAGTCCGCCATTTTGTTTATCCGTTAACCGGCCTATCACAGTAAATTTGACTCATATCCATGAATCCTTTTTTTAAACACTCCACGATTTACCACTTCTTCATGACGGCCAATATGTAAAATAGATTACAACGTATGCAGATTATAATTTTTTTATTTTATGTATGAAATATAGTTACTCAGTATTTAATCACTATTTTGGAAATAATCATCACCGAAATAGCAAAATGAATATTTATTCATACTGATTCAATTAAACAAATCGATTTATTCAATTAATTAATCAATTCGTAATTGACAGTACAATGGACCATCACTAAAACAGTCAGTTATCTGTTTGTATACTTTTTGCGTAAATTGAATTGGAACAGACTTTATATAATAGATACTTATGTCAATCAGTCTTATTTAAAAGTTACCTCTGTAACTTCAAGGACAATAACAGAAACCTGTGCAAAAGAGCACTGAAACATTACCTTGCAGAGTAAAGGTAAGTGGTACACTGAAATACAGAAAGACATACCTGTCTTGGTACCATAAGTGCAGAGCATACGACAGTCGGGAGTTCATTACTATTATCACGCGTATGAGACTTGGCCATTGTTTGATTCCGACTCATCTGAATATAATAAAGGACCTAAATAACACACGATGTCCCCACTGCACTGAAGAAGGAGCAGATTTACAGCATTTTATTTTCAACTGGCCTAACTTCAACAACCAACGATCTCTTCTTTTGGAAGACATAAGTGACAGCGACAGTTGTGTGCGAAACCAAGTCAGTGTTCCCCGCTGCGTTCAGGACTATCACAGAGACTATCACAGACTATCCAATAATGAGGTTTTTATTCCACCCTTAAGTTTATTACAAGTACGTTAGAAAAAATTGTACGTTACGTGTACGTTAGAGCCCCACCTTCTAAATGAATGAAGCTTACGACATCCAGAAGGGATAGATCGAAAAGAGTTTTTGTCACAAGATACTAGACAGTGCTTTAATGTTTTAATGCAATAAACATCAAAACGGGCTTTAAGTCCCAAACGCCCTTGTTGTCCCCAATGCTTCAATTGATTTCAACAAACATATTTACGACTAAAGGTGACTGCAAACATTATAATGAAATGTGGAAATATTACTTAGAAGGACTGGTGCAAGCTTAGGTCTAAATTTTCTTGCACGAAGTAGAAACCTGAACCATTTGAAAGAAAAAAAGAAAGAAAACTGTTTATTACACAAGCACTGACACGCATATAAACAAAACAACAGAGAAACAATAATAATATTAAAAATTCGTAATATAATGTTTTAGGCTCGGAGGAGGGTCCAAAATAAATAATGATAATAGTAATAATTTTAATTTGCATAACACAGAAACAAATGTCCTTGAGGTATTGCGTTGAAGACGTCTCCACTTATCATGGATTGCTAAAGCAACTAATACTGCAATCCACGTTTAGCGAGATGAACCTAAAACCAGACTTTTACTTTTAACTTACCGGAAGTTACTAAAGAATATAAATTTTAAATGTTGTGTATTTGTACACTTTCACATACAGAACAATAAATACTGTAGAAGTGGTTAGTTAGCAACCGACGCGTGCCAACAGTAGGTCTCGTTAAACCTAGTTGAGCTTTGGCCGCCATTTTTGCTGTGTATGGTATGGTTGCGTAAATTCTCTAAAATCGAAGAAAAATGCCTCACTGTGCTGTTTTTTTTTTACAAAATTTGTTACATCTATTTAATCTTTAATATATATTTCGAAACTATGACCAACCATTATCAAGATTCTGTAGTGTTTATGATTTGTTGTGTGCGTTTTGGCGACAGTCACTTTCGTTGGTTTTTTTCTCCTTCCGTGCTTTCTTTCTTTTCTACAACTTGACAAGACTTACGTCGTTGAAAATGTGGAAGTGAATCGACCTCGTGGCTGATTTTGAACTGCTGTTAGACTTGTTAGACCGGTCAGACTCAGTTTAGAGCTAACAGGACTATCAGTGACTTCAAGAAAAACTGACGTCCAAATGGAGAAAGGTGTTGACCTACGTTTTCAAGGGCCTTTCAGTCTGCAGAACTCAACAGTATAACCAACCAATACCAATAATATCGGAGGCTAATTTGTAAAGTTATAGACCCAAGTGGCATCGTTCTAACTTACACCTTACTGTACTGTGAAAATTAATGATCGTGTTGATGTTACAGAAACTACGGTTACCGGTGTTCCCTCAGAAAACGACCGACTTCTTCAAGACAATATTGACATCCACAATCGACCACAGAAAGAAAAATAAAGTTGAACGTCCTGACATGATCCAGCTACTAATGGAAGCTTCAAAAGGTTTGTTTGGTCTTAATTCTGGGTACAATGGAAGTTAATAAATTTAATTTCCGAATATAGATAAATTTAGATATGTTTAGTTTAGAGTTTAGCAACACTTAATACAATCGAGTAAACGCAAATATAATTAATGTCGACAGGTTACTTTTATAGACATGTTCACCTTACAGGAACACTAAAGGACAACTCCAATGAAAACGAAAAAGATAGTGTTGGTTTCGCTACAGTAGATGAAGCTCTAAAACCACAAGGTATATCTAGAAGTTGGTAATATTTTCATTTAAAAAATTATGTATTTAATTCTTTTTTTAAATAAGGTTTCAAAAAAAAAAACTAAAATATATGACTACATAGGAAATGAAACTATTTTTCCGGATTTAAATCGCGTATATTTGTTTTTTCAAACAAACCGACATTTCGACCTATGTGTAACAATCACGAAAACCTAAGAACTCGATATATATGACTACATTTTTTAACAGAATGGACAGTGAATGAATTAACCGGTCAAGTTTTCATATTTTTCACGGCTGGCTTCGAAAGTTCTGGCAGTACCCTGGTCATGGCTATTCACGAATTAACAATAAACCCACATGTTCAGGACAAATTGTACCAGGAAATTAAAGAATTCAAAATTAAGAACAATGATTTGACGTACGATAACATCGGTGAATTGAAATATTTGGACTGCGTTCTAAATGGTAAGATGTGCTGCCTCCTGATTCGATCTTTATACATCCATGTATTTTTTATAAGGTTTTGTTTTTCTGAGTTTTGTAGTTTTTTCTGTTTACTGTCAATTACAGAAACATTGAGAAAATGGTCGGCTGCATTGATATTGGACAGATGTTGCACGAAAGCCTATGAACTGCCTCCACCTAGAGAAGGAGGCAGGCGGTTTAAAGTAAGTATTAATTATTTCTTAAAAAAGTTTCCATATTGTTTAAATGGTTTGAAATTATTCTTTATATGTCGACGTGAAATGGTTGACAATAAGAAACGTAAGACACTATGTCTGTGGAACTTGTAATGATGCTTTTTTATATATATTCTTTATTGCACCAAACAAATAAACAGAAACAAAAAAATAACATAAGGTGAGCAAAGGTGGACTTATCTCTAAAAGAGATCTCTTCCAGCCAACCCAAGGCAGTGAGAGCAAAGGTTTTAAGCGGGGAACGGCGTGCAAAAGAGATAACAAAAGATGATAAACTACATGTATAAAATATGCATATATAAAATTACCGTTAAATAATTAAAATAGTATATAAATAAATAGACTACATAACGTATAATACATTGTATCAATAAACTTACACATATACAAATATGATGATTATTAAGAGAGTTCAGCAAGAAAGTGCGCTGTCAACCTTTTCTTGAAGGAAGCAATTGACGGACTAGACTGAATATGGGAAGGGAGTCTGTTCCACAGCTGCGCTGCACGAGAGGAAAAGGAGTTGTAAAAGAAATTTGTTTTACAACTAGGACGAACGAGCATCTTAGTGATGCACGGACGCCTTGAGCGGCTAGGAGGGGGAAGCAGTTGGAACCGGGAACGTAGGTAGGAAGGGGAATTTGGGTCATGAAGTATATTAAAAAGGGTGGACAGGATATGTACATCACGGCGAAGGCGGATTGGGAGCCATTTTAACCGAGCACGAAATTCGGAAACGTGATCAAATTTTCGGTAATGAAAAAAAAAATTTTTGATAATGCCTAAATCTAAATAAGTTCATTTTAATAATGCAGCAAGTACTCAAATAATATTTTTAAGGCCTAATATAACGAAGTTCAGATATGTCAGGAAATTATCAAGACAAAGTCCCTTCAGTGAGAGTTGTACTTATTTTTACCACAGTTGAAACCAGGAGACATTGTCTACCACGCGGTGAACTCCATCCACCTGGACGAGAAGTACTGGCCTGAACCGGAAAAGTTCGACCCTGACAGATTCTCTGACGAGAACAAACATAAAATCAAGCCTTTTACCTATATGCCTTTTGGTGTGGGACCCAGGAACTGTCTTGGTGAGTTGCGTTTCGTTGTCAGACAAATAAGTAGTTATTTTAAAACAGAGCATTGTTTTGAAAGACTTACTTAGTCGACTGTTATGTTTGTGTTCAAGTTTGGTTCGGATCAAATAGATACTAGAGATAGATAAAAAAGCACAGAGTCACTCAGAGCGAGCCATGCTCGACATTTCTCCGCGTGATCGAATCAGAAATGAGGAGATCCGTGGAAGAACGAAAGTTACCGACATAGCTCAAAGGTTAGCAAGTTGAAGTGGCAGTGGGCAAGGCACATAGATCTCGTAGAACAGACGGCCGTTGGAGCAGAAAGGTTCTGGAATGGAGACCGCGAACCGAAAGGCCTTCAGTGGGCCACCCCCCTACTAGATGGACGGATGATCTGGTAAGGGCGGCGGGTAACCGATGGGTGCACGTCGCGTCCGACCGACTAGTCTGGCAATCTTTGGGGGAGGCCTATGTTCAGCAGTGGACGTCTTCCGGCTGATATGATGATTTTAAGACTTCCGTGGTTATTCACTAAATGATTATCACTAGTATCAGGTTTCTTACCACTCTCAGGCAACCCGTGACCATGGAGCGTGCAACCGTTCCGAAATATCGGGAAAATAAAAAGAAGTCATACCGTGGTAAGAAACCTGATACTAGTGATAATTATTTAATGATATGATGATGATGAAATAAATAATGTTTGTAACTATAGTATGTTCTCAAAAATGGTTTGCATCACGCTGATGTTCATACTGTGATGACCGTTTCTATTTTGAAAACAGGATCAAGATTCGCGATTTTGGAGCTGAAGGTTCTTCTCTTCGATCTAATCTCCAACTACAAGATTGTCAAGTCTAAGAAAACCCTTGATCCGATCGTCTTGGAACTAAGCCTAAGCCTAACTGTTAAGCCTAAGGGAGGCTCTTTTGTTCGATTGGAGAAGAGAGCTTAAGTTGGGGGATTCTACGGGTTAAGGGTAGTGAGTCTCACCAATAATAGGACAAAATTATGATACCATTTATTAAAAATCAAATTTGTCAAGTAAGACGCCCAGATGATGAAGTTTAATATAATTATTATCTATATATTTGTCTCTACTCCTGTACTTCTGGCAATTATAATTTTATAAACCATATCACAAAGGCGCTCTTTTTACTTCTGAACCAAAATTCTATTGTCTATGGTACTCGCTACCGAACTGAAAAATTCCAGTTCTGTACACAGACCTATAATGAGTTTCAAAAAAAGAACGTAATTTTGCTAGTTAAAATATGACGCTACATCTATGGACGCTATCAAACACTGTTTACTTTCTACATTCATCGATCGATATTAATTAATGACAATCATAAACAATGAAAACTAGTCTACATTACTGCGCCTCGGTTTGGAAAAGCAAAAGGTGCTAGTGAATTTACAGGCACATGGGACTTATCAACTTAAATCTCACAACTGCCTCTGTGGTCGAGTTACCATGCTGGACTGCCACGTAGAGGTCTCAAGTTCGATTCCCGGGCCGGGAAAGTATTTGTTTGACCTACATTTATTTATCTCGTGACTTTGAGTGTAATTTCTGGTAGTCTATGCGTGTGTCCATAGCACCCGCGATACAGGGTTTCCCTGGTGCGGGGCTATGAGTGTGTGCGTTATATATTATATAACTTATGTCTCAGGGTGACGAGCGCAGCAGCAGTGCCCCTCAGGTCTTTACGATTTGAAGCTCTGAGTGGCACGGCAACTGTTATGAATGTAGTGTCGCTTACCATCAGATGCACGACTTGTTCGTTCAGTCAGTTGGTATCGGAAAAAAATTAAAAATCCAAGAAGAAATAGTTCCGAAATAATCACAACGTTTTTAGAATCAGAATCGTTTATTGTTTGAACTGGTAAAGAAGATGTTACATGTAATTTGAGTACAACAGTTCATACCCCTGTCGGGTGTACAAAGTAATATTTATATATGATATGGTTACAATTAGTCAATAAAATAAGAATAAAATTAAAATTAAAGTACAATTATTCAAATGTCAACAACTTAAACACTATAGGGTAAAATAATTCTATATATTACATAATTATGTTAGTCATAACGTACAATGTTTATTATATTTTATTTAATTACAAATGTATTTAGTTATTCATAGACATGATAACAATAGCGACCGAGTATTTATGACGGTTTTGTGGAATTAAAAGTAATAATAGTCAATTTTAAAGTTTGTCGCTTAAATAGTCAGATATTGTGTAGTACGCTTTTGTAGTAAGTAATTCCTTAAGTTTAAGATTAAAATCTGCAGTTTCTACCGTATCTCTTAAATGTTCTGGTAATTTATTAAATATTTTCACTGCCATAACTTGTGGGCTTGATGAATGAAGTTTGAGAGTTTTATAAAAAAAACCGACCCCAAAAGTTCGTGGAATTAGAACCGATAAAACTTTTACAAGTTTTATTGAAACCGGTTACCGAAAAGTACGTGAAACCGGATCCATTCCCTAGTTTGCCACCCTTTGAGGTGGAGTATTTATTTCAAAGTTAAAGTCAAAGTCAAAACATTTACTGCATTCACGTTGTTACGTTTATAGGTGTTAAATTATTGGTATAGATCAACATGAACCCTGTAAGGGCGCAGCAATGTCAAATCTAAAATCAGAATATAATTTGTGTTACCATTTACGTACAATTTATGAGAATTTAAATTAATTAAAAATATACATTTTTGCAATCGTCAAAAGGTCATATTAAATATGTATTAAGTATGTCATATAATAATAAATTACAACCTAAAAACTAGTTCAGGTCAAAACATTCTAGAATTATATTTAACATTAGTCAACTTAAATTTTTTTTTTCTATTATTTTAATTTATTTATTTTTAATTTATTATTTAAATGGGACCAATACTGAATTTCCTAATAAAAAAGAATCATCAAAATCGGTTAACAAATGCCGGAGATATCGCGTAACATACATACAAAACAAAATACAGTCGAACTCAGAACCTCCTCCTTTCTGAAGTCGGTTAAAAATAAAGTTTTAATTCCAGAAATATAATTTCAGGTATTATTATATAATATTCTCAATCCTACTTTTGCAAGGTCTCTGAATCGTATGTTTAATGCAAATAAAGCCTAAAATGAAAACAAACTACTGGTAGGCGACATATAGACAAATGCAATCTTATAGAATGTTCATTACTGGAGGCGTCAAAAAGATAAGCCGTCTGTCTTCGGCCATAAAAATATTACGCGCAGTTATAGCCCGATAAGCCTCTTCGTCCAGCCCCGGGAGAAAGTACCAACATATTTGTTTTTCTTCAACATCCAACAGAATATGAACTTATAATATAGGGTACTAACTAAAAATCCGTGATGGAAATATTACGTTTTCCAGCAAATATTGAGTTTGTTCACCGCGGCTGACACTGCGCAAAATATCTCTATATCTTGTGTCTTTGTTTATGTGAATAGTTTTCATTTATTTTTATTTTTTGTTTTGTTTGTGTTTTTGTTTCGAAATTGTTTATTTATGTTTTACTAATGTTTAAACATGATCGATTTGTTTTTCTTCTGTTCTGTTTCGTTTTTTTTTTTCTTTTGTGGCGTCAAGTAGTGGTATACAAATAAATGTATTTTCTTTTTTAAAACGTCCACTGTTCTAAAATTTATCTTAAATGAAAATTATAATATGTATTTACTTTTCACATATTTAGTTATAGTCTTATTTTATACATTCATATTATGCAGTTTGTATGTATTCGTGTGTATATTTAATATAACAAATGTATTCTTTAATTATTGAGTGTGTAAAATTAAATTTCACGATTTATTAAATTTTATTGCTGACGCAGGAGCCAATTCACTGGAAGAAATCCCTTTATGGGATAAACTCGCCTTTGTACAATAACGTTCTATTGCTTTGCTAAAAAAATTGTGACTTGTTTTTGTTTTACAATAAAGTGTTTACATACATACCGTTAGTGTTGTCACCTCAGGAATGATGAATTGTTGTGGTTTATTACTATAATTCCCCCACAACAACAAGCACAACAGCAAAAGCTTTCATTCAAACTATCAAAAACAACGAAAAATCTTTGTCCCATTTTCGCAAAACTATGATCATGTTGGTTGACAATTTTATGTACTCGAATTTTTTAATTTATCATAATGCTGTTGTGTATCTTGACCGATATTACATAAAAGCTCTAGTGGCAAAATGTTGAAGTGTACTTGCCCGAGTGGACTATTCTATGCCCATGCCTTAATTTTCTATGGTTCCTTTTGTTTGCGAATGCAACATGCGAGGGATGATTTTTAACAAATGCAGCAGCCCACAGACAAGATAAAGATAGGATTTTGCACTTACCGAAAAATGGCTTCAACAAATCTTAAATACCTGCATAAAGTTAACTGAGTTTGATAATAAACATATAACAATGTCAGACAGAGAATCCCACATGAGACTGCAGCCTAATTGCTTGTAGGCTTGCTTATTCGGTAATTACAAAACTTATTACACGAGATGCGGTAGTGTGGTGGGAAAAAGGTTGCTTCAGACTTTAGAGGTCTACATCTATATCTATGGGTCTACAGCATTGACTTACAAATAAATGGACGACGGGTCTAATACAAAAACCACG